TTGTTGCATCAATTTTAATGCCCTCTACATTTATTCAAAATATTTTATGATATTTAAAATGCAAACATAATGAAAAATTAGAGGACCATTTTCTTAAATTTGATTCTATAATTCGTGAATTGGATAATATAGGTTCCAAAATGGATGAATCTGACAAAATATGTCATCTGTTATTGTCATTGAATGAAGATTATGAAAATGTAATCACAGCAATAGAAACAATAAATACTGAAATCAAAATGGAATTTGTTAAGGCAAGATTGCTGGATGAAGAACTCAAAAGGAAAAATAAACAAGGGGAACCTAGGAATGAAGAAATGACATTTGGATCATTCACATTTACATGTTATAATTGTGGCAAGAAAGGTCACAAGGCAACAGAATGTAGAAGTAAAAAGAAATTTTTCAAAAGAGAAAAGAATCAAACACAAAAAGAGAGAAATGAAAGACAAAAAGAGAGTCAACCTGGACAACAAGCCTATCAGATGGATGGCAAACTATCATTTGTAGCAATGAATGCTATAGATTGCTATGAAAATGATCATTTTATTTTAGACTCAGGAGTAACACAGAACCTGATCAAAAGTGAATTAGAAAAATATATCACAGATGTGAAGATTTTAGAACATAAGTTTGAAATTCATATTGCAAATGGTGAAAAGATGTCTCTCTCTCTCAGCTAATAAAAGTGGAACTTTAAATGTAAAAATCAATAATATCCCAATAGCAATCCATGGACTAATAGTTGATGGTATTAAACAGAACTTATTGTCAGTAGGAAAAATTACACAACAGGGCCACCAAGTGATATTTAAACAAGATGAAGTAATTATAATTACAAGAAACCATAATTTTAAGTGTAATAATTATAGAAACTTGTACTCACTTAAAATAGAAATTGACAGTAACCCTGAAAGTGTTACAGCGCATGCAGTCAAAACCGATGACACATTGTGGCACAGAAGATTGGGACATCTGAATAGATACAGTTTAAAGAAATTAGGGCTACCAAGTTCACAAGAGAAATGTGAAACCTGCATCAAAGGAAAAAGCACAAGAAGATCATTTGAGAAAACCTGGAAGACATCAAAGGAAATTGGAGAGCTGATTCATTCAGACTTATCAGGACCAATTGATCCACCAACATATGATGGAGAAATATATTTTCAGGTACTAATAGATGACTACTCACACTTTGTAGTAGTGAGACTTCTCAAATCAAAAAGTGAAGCCGAAAAAAACATAATTGATTTTATCAAGTTGATAAAAACTCAACATAACAAGAAAACAAGAAAAATTAGAGTAGATAATGGTAAGGAATTTTCATCTGGAAACTTCAAGCAGTTTTGCAGAACAAAAGGAATTCAAATAGAATATACCTCACCTTACACACCACAACAAAATGGCACATCTGAAAGAATGAACCGAACATTGATTGATAAAGTGAGAACAAAGTTGGCAGAAACAAATCTACCAAAATATCTATGGGGAGAAGCCATTTACTGCTCAGCATACGAATTAAACAGAAGTCCAACAAGTGCGAACAAAGGAATACCTCCGGCTAGCATATGGTATAAACGAAATGACCTATCCAAACTTAAGGTTTTTGGCTCAAGAGCTTGGAGACTAATTCTACCCAAACCAAGAAAACTAGATGCTAGAGCAAAATCAACAATCATGGTTGGATACAGTGGAAGCGGATATCGCATCTGGGATCCGGAAACTGATAAAGTAATGATATCAACAGATGTAACATTTGATGAAACATTAACTAAATTTGACAAGGAAATCATCTCAGACCAAACAGAACCTAAAAGAATAATAACTGAATCTCAAGATGAGGAAGAAAACTCACAAACATCGGAACATTCAGACAAAGAAGAAAGTGTAACTACAAGATCGGGTTGAATAATCAAACCACCAAAGTATCAAGAAGATTATGAACTATATTCAGTATATTGCTTGTTTACAAATGGTGAAGATCCAGTTTCTTACAATCAAGCAATTAAGCAAAAAGAATGGAAAGAAGCTATTAATAAAGAAATTCGATCTCATGAAGAATTGAAAACATGGTCTTCAATAAAATTAGGAGAAAAATCAAATATCAAGCCAATTGATACAAAATGGATTTTCAGAACCAAAGAGGATGGAACCAAAAAGGCTCGCTTAGTAGCAAAAGGATTCCAAATGGAAGAATCATCTGATATTATGTACGCTCCAGTAGCTAGAATGTCAACAATAAGAATGTTACTCTCTCATGCAACAAACAAAAACTGGGAAGTGAATCAAATGGACATTCCAACAGCATTTTTAAATGGAAATATTGAATCAGACATTTACATCAAAGCACCACAAGGAGTGAATCAAGAAAATGGAAAAATATTCAAACTAAATAAAGCTCTATATGAATTAAGAGAATCACCAAAAACTTGGAACAATAAATTCAATGAAATAGCTAGTAAATACAACTTCACACAAGATCTCTAAATGACTCATGTTTATATATAAATGATAATACATGGATAGTGTTGTATGTAGATGATCTACTGATTACTGGAAAAAGAGACAATATTGATAAAGTAATAGAAATATTCAAACAAGAATTTAATGCAAAAGATCTTGGAAAAGTGACAAATTTCTTGGGAATGGAAATATCAAGAGAAAGTGGCAAGTTAATGATCAAACAAACAAAGTTTATTAACAAAATTTTAGAAAAGTTCAATATGACAGAATGCAAAAGAGTGGATACACCTATGGAACTAAACTTTCAAGCTGAACAAAATCAAGAAGATTTAAAAGTTCCTTATCGTCAATTGATCGGAAGTCTATTATATGTAGCAACTATCACAAGACCAGACATAATGTTCCCAGTGTCGTACTTGAGTAGAACTCTGGATAAACCCACTCAAGCAACTTGGAAAGCTGCGAAACGAATAGTGAGATATTTGATGGCAACCAAAGATATTGGACTGATATATACAGTATCATCCAAAAATTTGATTTCATATTCAGACTCTGACTGGGCCAGAGATAAAATTGACAGAAAAAGTACAAGTGGAAACATAGTACTACATGGATCAAATGCAGTGTCTTGGTTCTCTAAGAAACAGGGATGTGTTTCTCTTTCGACTGCAGAAGCAGAATATGTAGCAGCTGCTGCTTCTATACAAGACCTAGTTCATCTGAAGGAAATAAATAAGGACTTTTCATCATTTGAGGACACAACTTTGCTAGTGGACAACAAGAGTGCTATCTGCATGGCCAAAACCTTTGAAAACTCCAAAAGAAGTAAACACATTGATATAAGAACTCATTACATAAAGGATTTATTGGCCAAAGACATAATCAAAATAGACTACATTGAGGGGTGCAGAAACATAGCAGACATGTTAACCAAACCCTTATGTAAGGACATGTTGAACAAATTCATGAAACTTTTCAACATGGGGTGAAAATTGTGCAATTGACATTTGTGAAAATGCCATTTGAGGGGGGGTGTTAAAATAAATGTGTTTCAGCAACCCTGGCAGTACAAAACAAGGAATGTGTATTAGCCCTAATGTTTACCTTTTGTGTGTTGTAAATGATTCTCTAATTATAATATGCTTGTTTTCCTTTTAAAGATAATAAAATAAGATATTATCTTAAATTGTAGTATATTTATGTGTTAAATACACTACAAAATAACATGTATCCAGGTCATTTATTTGAAAAATTATAGAGGAATGTGTAGTTTCATATGTTAGGTAAATGTAAAAGGAATCAAAACATAAACATTCCAACATTTATTATAAAACATATAGAAGCCTACATTCATTACGGGAAATTACCCAACGCAAAGTGTTACTCAGTATACGACACAAAAATTGATAAGACGCCAAACAAATATATTTAACAGCAAAGTCCAGAGCTGCTACAAACCTGCGCACAGAAAATTTCAATAGATTTTCAACCCATATATCTAAATATATATAATGCTACACATCTGATGAGAGAGAGAGAGAGAATGAACAATTCATATAAAAAAAATATATCATAATATTTGTTTTGAAAATAGAGAAATCCATACGTAGATCTTCAACTGAAAAGGCATATAAAAATAAGTACAGTTAAACCTGTCTATAGCGCCCCCTCTTGGGACTCACCAAAATAGGATGCTATAGAGAAGGGATGCTATAGACAGGTCACTTTTAATGTAAATCGCATCGTACTACGTATTTAAAAACGTGCGCTATAGAGAAGGAGGCGTTATTTAAAGGGGGCGCTATAGACAGGTTTAACTGTATATAAACTATATTTTGTTCCAATATATGCATTTTTTATTGAATATCATAATATGTTTTCATATTTTACCTATTATTTCATTGGACAGTTAGTTAAAACACAGTTTTAGGGCGCTAAGTTGTTGATAATATTTAATCACATTTATTTATATTTACCAATAGCACTTAAAATGTAAAAAAAGGTTTTTTAAATGTTATCAACACTTCTTGAATATTCAGAGAAATTTTATATAGTCTATATTCTTTCAAATGTACAAATAAATGTTTTGCGTGATTATTTCTTAATGGACAATTGACCTATTTTATTTTCTCGATAAAATGGAATATAGTGAAAGAAAAATATCGCGCAAAAATGATTTTTTTTATTATATCGATGGAGCACTAGGGCCATCTACTTATATAATTGCCTTATTCTGTCTGTGTGAATTTACTGTGTGAAGTTCACGGATAGATTTTGGTCATCAACGCGCGCATCATCATTATGATCATTATCATTATCTAATGATAATTATTATTATTATTAATCTACTTATATAATTGCTTTATTCTGTCTGTGTGAAGTTCACTGTGTGAAGTTCACGGATAGATTTTGGTCATCAACGCGCGCATCATCATTATGATCATTATCATTATCTAATGATAATAATAATTATTATTATACTTATCTACTTATATAATTGCCTTATTCTGTCTGTGTGAAGTTCACGGATAGATTTTAGTCAGAATGGATAAAATAAAAAAAGTGTCAAATCGAACCCACGACCTTCCGCTTAGCGGGCAGATGCCATGACCACTAGGCTACCCTGGACATATTTTTTCCGTTCATAAAGTTAATATATAAATGCAAAAAAAAAATCGACATGATGAAATCTTTATGAAAATTCACATTTTTATTTTTATATTTTCAAGACACACACAGTTTGGCGCGGGACGTTTCACAAGAGAGACATCCACGGCGCCAATTTATAATTGTAACGAATAGTATTTTAATTAAACATTTTAAAAACACACAGTTTGGAACGGGACGTTTCACAAGTGTGACATCCATGGCGCCAATTTATAATTGTAACGAATAGTTTTTGAATTAAAACGTTTTAAAAATATATACGCACTCGGGTAAAACCCGGGCTTTGCCCGGGCCATTCGTCTAGTAAATTTATAATAATAGTGCTCTAATTTTCAATTATTTTATTTCAAAAATTCGACGCTCAAATTATATATATGCAATTAGGTAAAAATTTGTTTCATTAATAGTTAAAACAGTCACTGTCCACAATGGTTACCATCATCTATTAAATCTGTGTTTAGGATTAAAATAACTATTTGTTTATAATATATACAATTATTATTAATTACTATTATCCCTTATACACGTGGTGCAGGCCATGATAATCATGGTGGGTAGAAGTTGGCGACTGCTTTTACTGTAAGTGCACCTACACATATGAAAAGCAGCTCGACCTTTGCACTTACAAATGTGCCAGAGCCTAGTTTGGTTTCTTGCACTCGCTGGTGGGGTTGGACTTTTGCAAGAATCGGGAGCCATTGGAGCATTTTTTTTTAATTAGAAAAAGTGCCCAATGAGGGATTCGATCCCAGGTCGTAACAGTTTAGACCACCCTTTTATGAGTATCGTACGCAACTGAGGTTCTATCTTTCGCAAATCAAGAAGACCAAACAAAGGTAGATTTCAGATCCATTGATATATCACTAAATCACTAAGTTACCTCTTTAAAAACTATTTACCGGCGTGATTTCGCATAGAATGTCTCAATAATGATGTCATTGTGTAGCAACGAGTCACGGGTCAATATTATTTTATTAAAAATCCATAAAATTTATTGCCTCACTTCGATAACCTTTTGAACGAGCTAATATATTTCGGCATCAAAATATAAAACAAAATACAATTTTAATGTTAAATATTCAAAATATACAATTTTCAAACATTTAATTATTTTGTTTTCAAAAATAGAATAACATTCAACTATCCTTTGTGCGAAGTAAAAATATTGAGATTGCAGTGGATCATCATTGGTGAAAACGCTCAGTAGTTTTTTTTTATCAGACTTCATTAGGTTCAAAAATTATGGGAAAATAGTTAAAAGAAGTAGACAAATATATCGATAGTGGTTAACTCACCTGTCATCAAACAGCTTCCTGTACAACAGGAGCAAAGTAGATTTTTATCTCGCAACGAGTTAGGTGCATCTAGAAATGAAATATTGCCTTATCACAAAGAGTTTTAAAGGTAAAACCCAGCTGCTGTTTTTATAATCAATTTTAGGCCTTGCATATTGATATGCCAAGTTGGTCATCTTAATGGTATTTCTACATATATTGAGCTGATTGCTTTTTCCAATCTGATGAAAACGAAATTCTAAAATAGGAAATCAATTTATTTGCCATATGTCATTTTGTTTAGAAAGTAACACCTGGAAATCATAAATGCGCACAATATTCCACACACAAATATAGAATGTGTATTGCAAACACAATTTTATTTCCCTTTTCAAATGCAATTTATGTTTTTAAAGGAAAATTTGTCTAAAAATGCTAGAAAAAAGCGGGTACTATGTATAATGTATATTTAATTTGAGTTGTTTAAGTGATTTCTCTTGACATAGGTTATCTCTAAATTAATAGTTAAATATTTTTTTTTTCAACGCGGGCATCCATTGTGCGTGCTTATATAAATACGCAAAATGGAGGCCCGCGTTGATTCTGCCATCAGATAACTGTAAACACCTTTATTCTATTGGTGAATAAATGTAAAATATTTTCTCCTGTAGAAGGGCTTTCAAGCCCGAAAGCTATAGAGATTTGTGAATACATATAAAAAAAATGAATTTTACCTGGAATCCGTATATTTTATTAGTGATTCAAAGGATTATTTCATCGAATAGTTAAATTATATGTTACTTTACTCTCATTCCTTTTACCAAATGTTCATAATATAGGAAATTTGTTATATTTAGTATATTAGTTTTATAATGTAGAGGATGAGAGTTATAAATATGATGAGTTGTAATGTCGAATGTGTTGTGATGAAATTTTAGTTTAAAATTATTATTAATTATGACCTAGTAATAAAAATGTATTCGAATTGTGACATAGGGCGATTTATAATTAGAGATGTGGTTAATTAGGTTGAATAATTTTGACTCTAATAGAAAGCCAATCAGTAACTTTTATTTGTACGATCAAGAGATGCTTTTTTAACACATAGGATGAGTTGTAAATTGGGTTCAATATAGTAACATAAAATACTTATTTCACTCTGTATTATTTTTTTTTGTAGAGTATCATTAACTACTATCTATCTACTTATATAATTGCCTTATTCTGTCTGTGTGAAGTTCACGGATAGATTTTGGTCACGTGTCAAGTTACGGTAAGTAAAAATTTAAAATTAAAAAAAGATGCCGAAACCCGGGATCGAACCAGGGACCTTTAGATCTTCAGTCTAACGCTCTCCCAACTGAGCTATTTCGTTTTTTTTAGTTATTTCTATAGAGGCTTCTATCTTTATAATTATGTATCTACCAGTGTTGGGCAAATATTAATTAAAATGATTTATTAAAGATTAACAATTGATTAATTGTTAATTGTAATTTTCACAATTAACAATTAATCAATTGTTAATTGTATTTTTACAATTAACAATTAATTAATTGTCAATTGTATTCATACAATTAACAATTAATTAATTGTTAATTGCACTTTTCTAATTAACAATTAATTAATTGTTAATTGCACTTCAATTTAATTGAAAAATAATTTTTTAATGCCCAACACTGCATTTCAGTACCACTCTCTTCTCGAACATGCTGTCCGACAATTTGTGACTCTTTGGCAGATTTGTCATTGTCGCAAAAGAAAAAAGGCGTTCAACTGCAGCTGACGATGGTAAAGGTGTGTTGTATTTAATAAAACACTTTTTATCTCAGGCAGTGTTGGGCAAATATTAATTAAAATTATTTATTAAAGATTAACAATTAACAATTAATTAATTGTTAATTGTATTCATACAATTAACAATTAATTAATTGTTAATTGAACTTTTCTAATTAACAATTAATTAATTGTTAATTGCACTTCAATTTAATTTCTGTCTGTGTGAAGTTCACTGTGTGAAGTTCACAGATAGATTTTGGTCACGTGTCAAGTTACGGTAAGTAAATATTTAAAAAAGATGCCGAAACCCGGGATCGAACCAGGGACCTTTAGATCTTCAGTCTAACGCTCTCCCAACTGAGCTATTTCGGTTTATTTTAGTTATTTCTATAGAGGCTTCTATTTTTATAATTATGTATATTTTCAAAAAGTCAATTCACACCTCTTCGCTGGAGACCATGGGAATACTGACTAATTCATTACGCTAACATGATTATAAATACAAGTATCAGAGTCATCAACAATTCTGTCATCGTTTGCTTTTGTGAATGGAATAAATACCCAAATAGGGCCATTTCTTATAAACATCGGTGGTTCAGTGGTAGAATGCTCGCCTGCAACGCGGGCGGCCCGGGTTCGTTTCCCGGCCGATGCATTTTTTTTTTTTTTACAATTTCAAAAACTCATTTATATTATTATCTTTATATATATAAAAATCAGCGTGTGTATGTAGGTATGTATGTTTGTCAATTATACACGTCCATAATACGTAACTAATCTGACTGAAATTTTAACAGTATATAAAGTAGAATCTGGAAAAACTCTTAGTGAAAATTTCAGGTCTCTCTTCCGAATATCCGTCGTGTTATTTGCAAATTTGCTCTTTCGCTAGCGCCTCTAGCGGTGAAAATGGGGGAAAATACCAGCTGACCTAATGTATATGTAAAGTTTGGAGCGGGACGTTTCATAAGAGTGACATCCACGGCTCCAATTTATAATTGTAACGAATAGTATTTGAATAAAAACATTTAATCGGGTAAAACCCGGGCGTTGCCCGGGTCATTCGGCTATTTAATATAAATTATTAAATTTTGAAATTAGTGAGTTATGATGAAAATATTTGTTATAAAGTTTGTATAATTAGTTTTGCATCACCGCTCACTAATACATACTTCACTAATTAATGCAATTTAACTCGCCAGTTTGGTCATCATGTAATACAAAACAGGATAATAAAGTTTGATTGAGGGTCCGCCGGGGCCAAGACAGGACAAAGACCTCCAATTACAGAGTCGTTAGTTTATTTTATCCCTTCCCCCCAGACTGGCAAATACAATCTTATAGCAACAGTTATTGTCTGCCTCTCATGTAGATTTCACCATTCTGAACCATATCAGCGTTTTAGGTGCTGGTCTATATTCTAGGTGACATACAACCTACCTGTACTTTTGTGTTACTTATTGACACCTGACACTACTTTGGCCCCAAGACTGCGCAACCTGCCTACCACTACACACACACACATATATATATATAGATATATCATATGGATTTTATAAATCATCACCTGGATGATTTGTTTACAGAGTTAGAATCCCAGAGGAAGATAGGCGAACAGCCATATCATAATATTGTATGTTATAATAAATATTTTGATCCTAAATAAGCGTTTTTCATTAAAAAAAATATATATATATAGCGATTACGTTGACCGATTTATTAATCCTTAACATATATATAAGATTATATAAAGACAATTGAAAATGAAAAATATTTTACATAAGACGAATCTCACTAAGGGTTGTCTGGTTTGATGTCACATTTCGTCCTGAAGTCGGAAAGACATAGATAGGACGTCTCACCGACACGTGCTATTGCCACATTGAAGAATTCCTTCAGAGCAGAGAAACGC